GTAACAGTGTATGTGGGAGTGTTTTTATAGCTGTTTTGATCTCCATGCTGACTTCTGAACTTTGAATGGTTGTGTGGTGACTGTATTCTGTTGTGTAGATGGTAGGCTACATGATACTTAACCATCAAGACACTATAACTGAAATTGTTATCATGTATTTGTGCCTATATCATTGAATTAAACTACACAATGTACTTAAAGGGGTTTACTGCACTTTCATTAAACTGGGGGGCTCTCTTAAAACACTACAAAGTGTCAGTCCTGCTAGCAGGTCTTTGAAGTTGTACTTAGACATAAGACACTTAAATAAAAGTATTGGACAAATTAAAATTGGACAGTTGGACCCAATGATGGTGCTAGATCAAATGTAGGATTATGAAAGTTATTAGACTGTATCGTGTCTGGACTTTGAAGATTTGTAGCAAACTTGAGGGTATTCTAGCCAACGGTTTTCTACAAATTTCCCTCATTGGTGCTAAATAAAATCAGGGGATCACCAAAGTCAGTAGAATTCATCCTGTGCAGAACATGAATGTCTGCACAAAAGTTTATGTCCAGTGGTTGTTGAGATATTTCAGTGTGACCCAAAGTACTGAACTGACTGACAGACAGACATCGCCATTTACAGTCATTTAGAGTAAGTCTTATAAGGACATTATCTATATACAGAAACAGTGCAGATATAAAACATGTTCAAAGATGACAAGAAGTTGATGTGTGTGCACTAAGGAGAGCATCAGAACTTTAACGTTTAACCCTGGGAGCTGTAAGGAGATCACAACAGTCTTTACTGGTGGAATACCCCCTTGATCTGCTTGTCCTTCTATAGCCACCATAGACCAGTGACCTTAATATGAGCTGCCCAATTTAGTGGGACCTGGACATACAGGTGAAGCTCAGGATCATGACTGGGGAGCATTGTGTGGTCAGATGGTCAGTAGGTTGGTCTTGGGCCCCTGTGGTGCAGTCACTGTGAACCAAGCAGTAGCCAGACTGAACCGGTTCAGTGTAGCTTCGCACTGCCTGGGTGTTCATCCTGCTGGGTCATTTAATCTGTGCAGACACGCAAGTCGGTTAGGAGGGAGGTTTTCAAGTATTCAGAGAGGAAAGGGGAAATGTGAACTCCACTTTGTGTGCAAGTGCTAACCGCCTGGTTTACTGTGGCTCTGATGCTTGTTGTGAAACATGTTCCACTCCACCCTGTTTCGATAAAAATGTTGGTAATTTCTCTGAAACCTATGTGCAGTTTTCAAAACAGTTACATTAAGGTAGTGCTGCTTTTAGGAAGTCTTAATTGCATTGCTTGTAGGTGCACAACACCAGCAAGACACAGAAACAAAGAAGACTTTATGAGGCAGCTAAGTGTGTAAAATCATATGAATTCTTAAAACTTTGTCTAATGATTATATCATAGAAATGTCTAAGCCATATGTTTATAGCCTCGTGTGTCAACAATATGACCTGTTTTGCCCTTTTCTGGGAATCAAACTCGTTTTTACCTTAATCGGTTCAGGTTTTATTGCCTCAACCAGGCCTCCTGCTTGCATAATATGCTTACAAATACAATAAATGCTCTAATGATATTGTTTTATAGTGAGTTACTGCCTGTGTTACCGCCAGACACCCACAACACCAGTTAAATATGAGAAATGTTTATGTTCTTGATTACTCTGGGCCACTACTCTGAAATCTTTCAGATCCTACCTTTTCTCTTTGGAAAAACATCACAGGAGGCTGTGCAGCTGCCCCTGCACACACACACACACACACACACACACACATGAACTCCCACTCTCCCCAGATGTCCTTCCCTTTCCTCTGCTAATGTTACACAAGCAGCCACTTACTAAACAGTCGAGCTGGGTGTTTGCTGCCAGCGACTGATTCCAGTAAGGTCCAGCATTTTCATATAAACACAGACTAAAATCAAGATGTTATCTCTAATCATTAGCCTTCTGGGATTTATCTTAGTCATTATCACTAGTTACAGTGCTAAAATGCCATGAGTCGATAATAAATTGTTTCCCGTGATTAAATGAGGAAACAGCTGTTAGTTTGTTACCATGTTCTTCCATTTTTTTCACGACTCTATTGTATTTTGCTGATATAATTAAGATTTGTATCTATGTTGTTTTCTAAGTAAGGCCACATTAGTATTTTTCTGGTGTATTTTAAATACAAATGAATGGCCGACTGTGAACTCCTGTGATTAGTTTATCTTAGCAAGGTTAAGAAAAAGATTTCACAAATGTACATATTCTCTATATCATTCTCATAGTATCCATCTTCTATCTCCAAGAAAGTAAAGAAACTCATTTTGCAAAATGTCAAACTATTGCTTTACATAGTAGCATGCACCATGGGTGATAACATTTTGGGTTGGTTAAATTCAAATTTTAAAATGTTCAGGGTGCACAAACGAGTCTTACAGGACTTCTGTTTTAGACAGAGAATACTGGCGCAGTGACTCCATATCAAGATTGGGATGTAAATTAATATCTGACTACGTTATGTAACCTTACTGTGGTATCTCAGAATGTGAGATCATAACACCTTCTATCTGTTTGGACCATTTCAAGATCCAAAGATTTTAAAATAGTCGGACTTTGACTGAGAAATAATTCTGAAGGAGGTTACAGAGAAAAGTACAGGACAACCAAAAACAAAGATGAAGAGGAGGGAATCACTGCAGCAGTGGCCTCGATGACTAAAAATGAACACTGTCTGTAGACTCAAACCTTTGGCATTCTTCAGGTCTCAACATGCTGCCTCCTCTTTCAGGAGCAGCCTTATCTGTCACCTTCATTCTATTTTAGAGCCATTTGGGAGAGTGATTATGCAACATGAGCCAAAGTGGGATCTTCAGCATCTTCCGAAGGAGCCTTATCTTTAAGGATTAGGCGTAAACCAACTGTCTGCTGAGGATCCCTCCCTGTGGGGAATGACAGAACTTTGACCCCCAGTTAAATTTAGTGTCTCCTTTGTTATTATAAAGTTTAAATGCTTGGACAGGAGAATAGGGTCAGCAGCTCAAGGTTCCAGTTTCCGTCTAACCGCTGAAACCTCAATGTGCCTCGGGGATAACCTCAGGGTCATAAATATGAGGGACTTTTTTTGTGTGGAAGCGCAGTGACATTCTGTGTCTCTAGTCATAACGGTCAGGTCAGCTCGAGACAAGATATCCTGTGGCGACACATTGTTCAGACAGACCTGTGAGCCAGAGCTGTCAGCAAGGATCTGGGTGTTGTTTCGCTTCAGTCTCAGGCAGACGTCCTTGTTTTGTTGTTCAGTGCAGTACACAAAGTCAATGCCACATGCCAGGCATATGGTGCACAAGCTGCATTCTGCAGACCTCCAGAGGAAAAGTACACTTCCTGAGCCACCACTGCCCCCCCCCCACTCATATAAGGCACCAGCCTGTGGTGGCAGTGTGGCAGTTACAGAAGGGACATTTTTGGGCAAATGCATGTCACACCAACTTGAAACTGACACTTGCTGCTGTGTGTGAGGAGCTTTGTCTCCAGGGGAAATGCCTTGCAGCCTTATCAGCTCACAGGTCACGGCTCAGCTCACGAAACCCTCCCATCCCATCTGAAGGCCAAAATGTAAACCAAATATTTTTAGCATCAACTTGAAAAAGATATATTCTTATGTAGCAATTTTAGGAGCAGTAACAAACACACTTTTAGTTAATTACAGCATAAACATTTCTAGATTAAAGAAAAAAAGAAACAAAGATTAAAGACAATATTATAAGAGCTAGTGGAAAGGATGGATGTTCAGTGTCATAACAGGAAAAGGCCTCATTCAGTAAACACAGCTCTCTTGTTAGGAAACAGACTAACAACTTTATTTACTGCAGCATATTCCTGGTTTCTACAGTGGCTCATGTTCTCACCAGCCAGCTAGAATAACAAGTAAAACGATGCACATCAGTCAGATGAGCTGAGATATCATGTCTCCGTTGTTACATCTGCAGTGTCACATCGCTGTGTGGCAAGAGTGTAACATTAACGTATCATATAATATACACCACACATAATCATACATAATATATTAACGGTGCATATGACCTTTGTGTTGGTGATGGGATGTAACTAATTACATGTACTCAGGTACTTTAGTAACGTTGAACTTGTACTTGAGTATTTAACTTTTTATTAAATATGATGCATTTTTATAAATTGACCTCTCCAGCAATAAGTGAAGAACTTCAAAATAGCTCCATTATGGCAAATTACAACAGTAAACAGCTGCTTACACATCAGTGTATCAGTAATCATAATCCAGTAATGCAGTATATAGTCATGCATCACTGGCAGGAGACATTCTTCTCCATAATGAGTGTGTTTTGGATCATTTAAGCACACTTTGTTGATAATAGTTCTGTGCTTTTACAGCACTTTTTAAGTCCAGGATGTTTACTTATTATCAAATACTTTACACTGTGATGTTTCTATTTCCAGAATATTTCTTCCACCACTGAGGTAAACACAGGCTATTTTGAGTGGTGTATTAATCAAATACAGTTTATGTAGTGCTGAGTATTGAACTGTCTGCAGGAGCTGTACAATAAAGAGTGAAACTGATAATTAACAGTAATAAACACTATGCATTGTGTGGTGAATGCAACAGTGAAATTAATAAAAGATTCCTATTCATACCCTGGCACTCGTGCGTCTTGTTACGTGCATGTGCTGACATAAGAAAAAAAAATACATTTCTGTTACAGTAATCTAATCTACTTGTTTACTTCAAATACCTATCAGAAAGATGAATAGAGATGGCAGGTGATATTTTTCACAGTGGTTTCATCATTCTCACTGCCGTGCGCATTTGGAGAGCTGCAGCGGACTCTGGACTGCTCTCGACTGCGGTGCGCTTCGTGAGGCGGCGCCACTGTCAGCTCCAAGACACATGATGTCATTACCGGAAGGTGAGTCCTGACAGACAAACCTACAGTATAAACCGCCCACACACCCCTATAAATACGCACGGACTCTGGGTTTCTGCACTCCTTTACTCAGTTGCTCAAAGAGAAAGCAGCTCTGGAGAAACACTGCCCACCAAGCAACTCATCCTCGCCGAGTTGGAGGGCTACGCTTGGAGCAGAGAAACACCAGACATCCACCAGAGAAACAAAGAGACAAGATGTCGAGCTACGTGTATTCTGACTGCCGACGTGTCAGCCCCTCTGTCCATGGCAACAAGTTTGACACCGCGCACCGTAAGAAGGCCGTGGCCAACATTTTCGAGAACGTCAACCAAGACGCGGTGATGAGACTCTTTAAGAAAACGGGCGACATGAAGGCGGAGGAGAGAGTGAGGAGCATCTTCTCCTACAGCCAGGACCCGGAGGAGACAGCCCGGGCCCTGATGGCTCTGAAGCAGCGGAAGAAGGACAAATTCCTGCGGATCGCAGGGATGGTCCGACAGCTGCTCAAACTGCGCTGACTGTTTACCAGGCTTTCACCGCCTGTGTCTCGCTGTCGGCTCATTTGTGGGCCGATTGTGAAAACCGTTGTGACTGGATTACCTCGGAAGATGCAACTCACTTGTCACCTGCAAAGAAGTGCCAGGTGCCAAGGGACATGTGTATCCAGTCGTCTGCAGGGCATCAGGCAGCAGCCGTCGCCTCGTGGACTGAGCAAACAGCGGAGGGTCCTGCCTGGAGCGAAGGAGCCTGATGAACTGAGTGGGGCTATGAAGGCCATACACGCCTTCCCAGAGACTTGAATCCAGTATTGCATTACTGTGTATGCGTGACTGTGAAGCAGCATCTTGTACAGGTGCACACGGCTGTGTTGATGCTGGTGCACAACTGCAGTATGAGACTTTATAGTGTGTAGAACTTGCAGACATGAATGCCTGCCCTGAACACATGTCTTGTCTCTCAACTTCGTTTTATTATATGAGCACTACTCAGTAGTGGCCACTGATGTGTTATTGTCACAAAAAAGCACAATGATTTGCACATTTCCTTATTTGTAATTTTAATAAATTATTCCAATGTATACAAAAGTTGAACTTGTGTGTCCTTATTACATATTTTACATGGTTTTAATTAGTGTTACAAATGGTCATCACATCAGTCATGTGAGGTGCCTCCTGTTTACTTAGAGCAGTTTAGTCTGGGATGTAAAACCTCTTGAGACTCATTACAGCTGTTGATCATTTGAGGATCATTGAGGAGTCAAACCATGATCACAAGAAAACAAAAAAACTACATCTGCAGGCACAGTAAGAAAATAACTAACAGCGAAATAATCAAATGTGATCTGGATCCAGTACTAGATAACTTGTCAGTATGATTTATTTATCAACCAAAATATATTTCAGCCATCTGCTGTCTGTCACCTGTGACCTCTGTGTTGGTCATAAGCAGGGAAACCCCTCAGGCCAAACTAGATCTCCATGAAAAAGCTCTTATGTTAGTGCTGACTACATGTCTGTGACATGAGGTGTAGGTGGACAGGCTCCAAATCACAGAGCAATGCAACAGGCATTGTTGAGTCATATGACGTCGGATTAGGTTTGCATATGTATTTAGTAATAAAAGGGTGAGCTCAGAGGACACTTGAAGGGAATAGAGAGTTGTCCATGAGAGGATGTGGTGAACTTTCAACAGGCTTCCCTCACAGTGCTGTAAACCTCACCAGACTGGCATGAACCAGTTTGGCTCAGGTTGGCCTAGGAGGGTGGGCGGCTTTCTCACATAGCGTGTATGTGTTGGAGTATGTTTAATCATCCCTGTGCTCTAGATAAGAGCCTGTCTAAGTACTGCAGATTACAGAGTTTAGACAGGTAGAGGCTTTGCTTCTTCACCCTCTGATTCTTTCCCTTAAAGAAAAGGATAAATGACCCCTCCACCACTACAACCATCTACTATATTTACACCTCACATCAGACTATGCTGGTGCATTTTACAGTTTTTCATCAGGGTGTATGCAGCATATGCAGGCTTAGTTGAGGCCTGTTAATATGCTTGCTTTGATCATCCTTCTGCTGGCTCAAACCAGTTCCCTGGGTGCATGACGACATCTGCCTGTAGCGCTTTTCATATGTGCTGAGAGAACCGGGAAGCTCAGGTGTCAGTTGCGCTAAGGTGTGGAAATCTGAGGTGAACAGTCACCTGGAAGTAGTAAAAGGAGTGGAGTGGAGGTGTGCTGACGCCAGTAATGAATTATTCCACGTCACAGACAACACAGTGCTCACACCCTAATCAAACTTTAATGTAACTGCTACTGTAGAGCTTTAAATATGGATTAGAAAGGGCTTTTCTGTACAGAGAAAGTAAAATGGTAGAAAAAGGGAAGATGTTGCATAATCGATTCACGGTGGCTTCACTATTGCGAGCTGTCAGACTGTCCATGGTTTATTCAGTCAGTGGTTTAACTCAACATACCAACCTTTAACTGGCGTGACTCTTAGTGGCATGAATTTAGAATTCTGATCCGTACATACTGATCTCACAATTCATTCACCTCTTACCGTTTGGCTTTATCACAGTTCATTATCCAGGCAGTGTGTTTATGCTCTTTTATCTTTTTGCTGTCTCTTTTGTTTGGCTCGTGTATTCACACCAGGCAGCTTGTTTTATTGGCCTCATTTTCCCTTTTAGGGTTAGACAATTGTTAAGGGCAAAAAAGCTAAATATTCAAAGCTATTGTCTTGACTGTCTTTGCTGTGTTGGCAGCAGTGTGCAGGGTTGGACCCAGGCCAGTGCCTCCCACCTTGTTCCTGCCTTTCATCAGCCTTAGAAATGGCTTTGATGTCAGCAGACACTGTGGCAGACAGCCTTCGCGCCTGGAGGACAGTAACCACAGACAGAGGAAGATACAGGGTGGAGGTGTGTACATGTGGAGTGGGGGAAAGGTAAGGTAAAATCAGTTGCCATATGTTATACTTAGAAACTATTAGAGGAGCTTTAATGAAGGGTGCTTAAGACTTAGATGAAAGAGGAGAATGTGCATATTAACAGAGTATGTGACTACTGTACAAGAGGATCTGGTTCAATCTTTTGAACAAAGAGTTACCACTCACTGTTTCTCTGTGCTCGCCTGCTTCCTGAAAGGTTAAATATTAGTCTGCAGCCAGTGGGGGCTAGAAGAGAAAGAAAGAAGTGAAACTAGGAACTGGACTGCAGTAAGTATACACCAAACAAACAGGAAACCAACATGCAAAGAGCCTTTAGACTAATACAAATCTCCATATTACAGTTTTTCTGAATTGCTAAAACACGTTTCTTGAAACCACCACTCATTTTCTCAAAACCTTAAACACAAATCCAAATACTCAAACTAAATTCACAAAACCTCTGACTCATCTGCCAAAATCAAGCAATTGCTTCAAAACCATTTCACCAGCACTCAAAATCAAACAATGCTTTCAGATCATACACAAATGAGTCAATCATATACACACTGCAGCTCAGTCATTAGACACTACATCAAAAAAAGGAGAACACAGCATCCAGGACATGTAGTTACAACAAAAAAAGTTTATTGTATAGTGAATTTACCAAAAACCATGTTACGATCAAAAAAGAA